TGGCAGGAGGCACTCGAGCTCCCGGGCCGGGGCGCCGGTGGCTGACCGGCCTCACCCGTTCGCCCCTGCCTTAGCTGCGGAGATGCGGAGTTGTCCGTCAGTTAATAAACTGCGGGATCAAAGCTGGAGGTTGAAGAGGGGGAGGGTAAGGTGAAAGCTTGGGGTGCCGTGTCCAGGAGAAGCTGCGTCGTCGGTGGCCGGAGGAAGGTAAGCTTCCCCTGCCAGGCAGCGCTGAGGGCAGAGCGCGTTCCTGGGCTGCGCGAAAGGAGGAGCGTGGGTGCCTTACCTCTGTGCCCACCGACGCTGCGCTTTATCACCTTGCCTGTAAGATGGCTTCTTGTTTTCTTGTCTGTTTTCGCGTTTTCTCCTAAACCCTTTGCTTGCAGCCTTATGTATTGATCCCCATGTTTTTCGCTGTCCGGTCGTACATACTGCTTTTTCTGTCCCGGGGCATTTGCCTCATGGATTCTCCACTCTCTCTTCTTCCCCTGCCTTCTCTTTGCTTACTGTGTCCTAATCCACCCCCAGCACAAGCCCTGGGTTGTCCAACATAAATCTCAGGTACTAAGAGCATTCCTACAGGCGTTGTAGAGCCAGGTGCTGGAGAAAGTTTGGGAACTGCTGCATTGTACAAGGGCAGGGTGTTGCCCATCAGCAGGTCAGCATTAGTTACCTGTGTGGAGGCTCTTACTGCACAGCTCAGGCTGTGGTTTTTGGTCATTCCTCCTCTAAATATGCTCTGACGAGCTTTTTCTTCATCCTAGCCTGCAAATACTAATTTCTGTGCAATCTGCAGACTTTCTGAGCCTCCCTTTACGAGGCAAGTGGAGAACATAAGGAGAGGTACATCTGCAGGATAGTTTTTAGCAAGAAAATCTTTGTATATTTGTATAAGTTGGGTATGTAATATTTATATTTTTCATGCACGTGCTCATAAAAACGTTACGTTTGAGTAGGGAACTGAGACTTACAGTTGCATCAGCAGAAAAAAAGGAGCAAAAACTTGATCACTGTTTTAAAGGTCGTACAAGAAATAATATATATGAAGTGGTTTTGGTCTCTTTTTTTCTGTTGGAAAAGAAAACTGGTGTCCCTGGCTTTAGAAGATGATGATGATGTCAGTTTATTCAAGTATAGGGAGGCCTAATACATACTGTTCATCCGATCTTGAGCAAATCGGTCCTTGTGTCTCTCTTCCTGCTGGTATACTGATACTGCTTTTGTTTATAAAGTGCTTTGAGCTCTGATGATAGAAGGGCATGAAGTAAATCTTTCAATGAAGATGAAAGGGAGGATGCCAGCAAGTTGCTAAGATTTGTGTTTTATAGAAGGTGGTTCAGTGACTGGACTTAGAACTTTGACCTTACAAATTACTGATAACAGTACAGTAATTAGTGACGGTCTTAAACTGGTATGCTGCTTTCCTACAGCTCTAAGCTTTAAAAGAAGCCTTCTCTTGTGTATTCCAGTTGAGAATTGCCCCCTTAAGGGCTTTTATCTCTGCGTGCCTGGAGGCAACTGAAGTGATAGTTTTGTTTTGTTTTCCAGAGCTGTAAGAATGTGAACATAATGGCTGGTGGTTTCAATGTGTATTGTCTTTTTGTATTGTTTCTTTTTCTGAACTGTCGTTTCAGGAAAATGATCTCTATAACTTTCATTTTGATTTGGATTTGATGTCTTGGGACTCGGATCTTTGGAATATTACAGGCCATGCTTATGCAGGTAATTTACCGTTTTTATTTTGCAGGTGTGACTATTCCCTCCCGCCCCACAAGGGTGAGCTGTTATAACTTTAGGATAGTGGTAACTTATGTGAAACTATTCGATGTCCTGCAGCATTTAGCTCTGTGCTGAGGAGTCATGCTGTGTTTCTGTCGGATGGGTACAGCTGGCAAGGACTGCCTACAAGCTAAGCTGTTTAGTGTCTTTAATCTCGCTATGTTTTCTGCTGTGCCTTGCTTCAGGGATTAAGTAGCTGGTGTAGGGCAGTGTGTTCTTTACTGATCTCCCATTGTTAAACACTTGTACAGTAAAATTTCTTTATCTGCCTCTTGCAGATGCAAGCGTGAAGACAGAACCCTTATCACCAGCCACTTCAAATTGTTCGGTCCCTTCTCCATCGTCTGCGGACTCTCCAGTGCAGAATGTGCCTGTATGCAGAAACTTCCATGTAACGCAGATAGCAGCAGTAATTCGGAACCAGCTGTGACAAACAAAAAGCCCAGTGATTTACTTGTCTGACCAACTTCATGGCATAAGAGGAAACAGCTTATTTTTCCAACCCTTGCAAAACCAACTTCCCTTCAGTGATCTTCTCCTTCCTCTCCTGCTGTGACCCTTTCTAAAAAGAGCATGTTCAGTTCTGTTTCCTCGGTTGTGTGTACTGGGCTGGTTGCCAAGCAAAATGCCTTCTAAAGTCTAGCAGTTGCTGGCCTCTGCCCCCCTTCACTCTGCTGATAAAGAGAGGTACTTCTTTGGTTTTCAGTGGTACTTAACATTGACCAGAATAAAACTGCAGAACAAAACCTTTCTCTTGTTTGCTGAAGGAGCAACACAGATGTGATGAAAGGCTGTTATACTCTGAACTGCTAGTAGACGCTTCTATGTGTTTCTGAAGCATTAATCTCATGTACTTTCTATCTGCAGGATGATGTGGACTTCAGCTGTAGCTCCCAGATGTCTCCCATCTCTCTCTACAGCAGGAGTTGCAGAAGCCCTGCATCCCCTGAAGGAGATGGAGGGAAGAAGCCTGCTGTCAGCATCACTTCTCGGTCTGGTATGAAAGACTGAGTTACTTTGATTCCGCAGATAGTACGCGTATTGTCTTGCCTACGGATGTTTAACTAAGAGACATTAGTATATCCTGTCTATCCTGTCATTTCTGACTTGAATTTGTGATTGGATATGTCTGTTTTTAACAAATATTATAGATGGGTAAAAAAAAGCATACCAAAAGCCATGTTATTACTGCTTGAATTCTTTATTTTCTATCTTCTGGTCCAACTCTGACTCTTTTTCCTTTCCTAGCAAATCATTCTGCGAGGACCCTGAAGAGGTGTGGTCAGACAGCATCCAGGCCTTCGATACAACCCAAACCCCTTTTGCCTGCTGTACCTGAGGCTCAGGCTAACATCGGCATCCCACCTAAAACCATCATTATTCAGACTCTTCCCACACTTGTGCCGCTGCCAAAGCATCAGCCAGTTGTTAACATCCAGCCAGCACCTCCTAAAGGTAGGTGAATTGTCGTGACTGAGCTAGGTCTTGGGGGTAAACACTATATCTGTTTGGGATGGTCGCTAGAATGAAGTTAGCTTTGGCGAGTGAAATGGGAGGGGTAGGGGGAAAAAAAAGAGGGGTCCTACAGGCTTTGCTGAAAAAGCTTTAGGCCGAGAAGATGGCGTTATTCCTCTCTCATAGTCCTGTGAGAAACAGCACTCACCTGGGCATTATGTGGAATGGAAGACAGTATAGCAAAAGAGACTATGCTGAGCACTGGCAGTTGTGGAGATAAAACTGCTGATTTGGAAGGGTCTCTAGGGATCCTTTGCTCTACTTGTGATGGCAAGAGGTGCATAAGGTGATTACAGTACTATTCTGTCGTAACCAAGGGAAGATCCAGCAGAATCGGTTAGGATGGCTTGGATGAAGCTTGAAAGCTTGGGAGGAGTGATAAAAGCTTTTTTTTTTTTTTAACCCACATGAAACTCTGCCACAGGATGGTGGGAACATGAGTTTATGGCTTTTTATCTCACTGATCAGCATTAAATAGGATGTTGCGAGATCTGCTAAGAGTTGAGAGCGCCATGCCAGAGGTTAGAATAGTTGCTTACAGCTGCAAGCTGATTTTAACAAGTGGCAAGTGATTTCCTGTCTGCTGATAATTCTTCGTTCCTCCTGTTGCCCTGTAACAGATTTTTGAAGTAGCTTGAGCCTTCATTTCTGAATCCCAAGTGTTACGTTACTCTTTAGCTAAGGCAGTAGGGGCATAACTTGCATTGCTGAAATTGTCAGATGCAGTTGCTGGCTTTCACCAGCTGATG